GTACGGCCCCAACGGGGACTCCCGCCCATGACGATGTTCCAGACGAGTGCCGACGCTGGATAAGTGGCTTTCCAAGACCACTCATGGTCCCAGCGCGTGAGGCTCACTTTGAACGACTTAAGAATCATGTGCTGCGCCACATGGCCGAGAAGATGACCGCCCGCTTCGCTCGTGTCAGCCAGAGCTACAGTGTCCACTTCGAGACGCCTTCACTTGCGCGAGAGTTTCATGACTTCATGGTTGGGAACCCGATGAAATGGAAGGATCAAAGGTCTCAGGTTGAGCATGATGTCCGCGTGAGAGCTGATTTGCCAGGTGATGTTCGCAGTCGCCAGCGGCAACTCGGTCGCATCTGGTTGCCTATGAAGGAGCTTCTCGTACAGAAGGGGGTGTGGAATCAATCCGTGAGGATGGGTGCGAACGGTTTCCGCAACGAGTTCTATTTCATCAAGGACGATGACATTTGGGTTATGTTTCGTGGCTCGCTCGACCCGCTCGGACGGTTGCAGTGTGCCGTGACGGATGATTTCTGGAGCCTAAACTTTACTCAGGCAGATGCTGATCGGTTGTTGGGGTTACTGAACCAATCGGATCCTACGCTACCAGGATTTGGGAATAATTCGCTGCCCGCAAGTAGCCGAGGCGGCACGCGCACTGAGAACGGCCAGGAGGCGTCCAGGCTGTGCCAGGATGCTTTGTTCCCATCCTCTTGCTCCTCTTCTTCTTTCTCTTCCTCTTCGCCCAGGACATCGTATGACTCGGAGTCGAGTTGCTCGTCGGAGGGTGATTTTGATGATCCGAATATTCGCGTTGTTCCGTTCGTTCCCGACCGTCGATTTCGTATTATTACTTGGATTGTTCGCGCTCTCTTTGGCTCCCTGCATTCGGACGTGGGACAGCAGGCGAGGACACGTGCGACTTTGATGTCGTTGTGCCGATCTGCTGATGTGGTGGTCTTGCAGGAATGCCATGGATGCAAGGATGACCTTCTTCTTCTCCTCTCTGACCTTCGTGTATTTAAAGGTTGGGGCTCGTTTCTTCCCGACCGTGCGGCTGGAGGTGCAGTTATCCTGGCTCGTTCGATTTTTTGCGCAGTTTGTGCACGTCAAGCATGAGGTTATCGCTGGTGGGCGATGCCATTGTATTCATTTGAGGGGGAGGAAGGGATGTATGACAGTCATTAACATGCACATTGATCCAGCTCTTTCTAACGGAATGAAATATGGGTTGATTCGGCAGGTCGCTTTCCGTGTGAAACCTGTTGACAAGTACGCTACATGGATTTTGGGTGATTTTAACTGTTTGGATCCTGGGGGCTCCTGTATTTTTCTGCAAGCAGAACCTGTTGCCGCCAAAACCGACACGGTGGGCAGTTTCTTTGCTGGCATTTTTCCCTTCATGTGCGAGGTGGCCCAACTCTACCCTACGTATCGAGTGAAACAAGACGAGGAAATCATCTCCGCTGGGCGTCTGGATAGAGTCTATGCCAGTTTGGACTCAGGGCACTTACTCGATTTGAAGCCTGCCGCGGGTGTTATTTGGCCAGTTACTGACTTGTCGAAGCCGAGTGACCATACCCCTGTATACGTTTCCGTGTTTCTTGGTCCGCGAAATGACTTTCCTCGGATTCTTTCATGGGTCACTGGAAAGCATCAGTTTTCGGAAGCTGTTGTGGATCTGTGGGAGGACATGCCTTCGTTTTCGTCAGCTTTTACTTACTCGGCTTCGAGGTCTGAAGGAGGTGTTTCACGAAGCTGCTCGTCGCGTCAAAGCTGGTCTGTCAGTATCGGGTCCTGAATCAGCAGCTGAGCTCCTCTCTTGGTTCTTTGCGGTCCTGCGCGCCATGGCGCAGAACAGTGTGTTTATCGTTCGCAAGGCTATGCGCGCTGTGCCAGAGATGTCGAAGTATGTGGACGAGGGGGTTGGATGGTGGGTGGACTACGGAGGATCCATGGAGAGGATGAGGGCGGTTTCGGAGTCGGTGTTAGACGAGGAGGTGAAGGATTTGTTCGCGTCTCCGTCGCTTTCTCACGAGTACAAAGTCAAGAAAGCGCAGCATATCCAGAGGCACATTCAAGCTTGGAGAGCTCGTAATCGGAGGTTGGTGCTTGCAGGAGTGGAGGCTCCTGACGGCAATGTTCCCGACACCCAGGCCGGGTGTGCTGCGTTGCTGGCTGATCATTGGGGTAGGGTTCTTTCTAATCAAGCTAGGGGGCGGGTTCATCAACTTCCTTTCCAACGTTTCGTCCAAAGAGCCTCGGAAAATGTGATTTGGGACGCCTCGTTTGAGCAGTTCAAACTGGGACTGAGACGCTTTCGTGACTCGGCGCCTGGTCCTGATGGGGCCCCTTTCAGTTGTTACTCGGCCGCTGGGGATCTCGGAGCAGAAGTGTTGTGCGAAGCCTACCTTGCGCTCCTCAGGGGCGAGGCGGACGACGACGAGTTTAATCTGTGCCTTGCAGTATTTATCCCGAAGGGGGAGATGCCTGAGTCTGTGGACGGGTTGATCTCTAGTCCGCCTGAGACTCGGCCGATATGTCTGGGGCATACGGATAATAAAATTATCAGCGGGTGGATCAATTGGGGGTTGGCGAGACAGGCTTCGATTTCGTGCGCGAGTCCGCAGCGCGGGTTTGTGCTGCGCAGATTTTTGAACGACAATGTTCTCGAGGCTGCGTCTGGGCTCGCGATGTGGTGCTGTGTGTCTGGGCACAGAGCGTCGGGTTGCATCCTTCTCGATATTCGGGCCGCGTTTCCGTCTCTTAACCACGGTTGGATTTGGTGGATCTTGGAAACAATGGGAGTGCCGAGGTGTATCATACGTGCCTTGAGGTTTCTGTATTCGGGTATTCGAGCGACCATCGTTCTGGGAGGCCAACGTTTTCCTGGCTTCGAGATCGAGTCTGGGATAAAACAGGGGTGTCCCGCCTCGGGGTCGATCTTCGCGCTCTCGCTGGACCCCCTTATTCGTGCCCTCGTTTGTGCGTTGCCAGAGCCAGAGTCTTGTCTGTGTGGATTCGCGGACGACCTGATGCATGGCTCGCGTGACCTGTTCGAGACTGTTCCGAATGTGCTGGTGGTAATGAACCAGTGTGCCTTGGCGGCGGGATTGCAACTGAATAGCAATGAGACCGTGGTTGTCTTTATGGAGGAGTTCCAGGAGTCGTATGTTCGTGATCGGTTTGATGAGCTGGGAGTCGACTTGGGGAGAATATGTATTCGGACGCGTGGGAAATACCTTGGGATTTTCCTGGGCCGAGGTGGAGGGGAGGTGAGCTGGAGGGATCCGATGGTGAAGTATGTGAGGAGGGTACGTGAATTACGTGGGCTGGGATTGGGACGAGTCGACGCTTTTGAGCTACAAGTCCCTCGCTCTGCCTGTCACGCAATTCGTCGCCCAGTTCTTTGAGCCGCCCCCCTGCGCTGTACCGTCTGGAAGACGAGTGCCTGCAGCTGCTTGTGAACGGGCCGCGTCATGCTGTCCCCCGAGCTGTCTTCTTCGATCTTGAGGCGATAGGCGTCAAGCTCCATCTACCGCAGTTGCGGCAACTATGCATGGCGGCCAGATATCGGACCGCGAAAAAAAGTAAGATGTCCCCCAAGCTGATTCAACAGTACAGGGACTTGATTGAGTCTGACGATTTCCTGATTGCACACCAGTTCTCTGATTTGTTCCTCCAGAGCCCGCTGTACCAGTTGAACCGTGTTTTCGAGATGCTGGATAGGATTCCCGAGGTCCCTGATGATCCAGATAAACGTAACTTCCAGGCTGCTGTGTTACGTGCGATTGAAAAAAGTGACCCGCCAGAATCCGCGTGTCAGGCTTTGATTCCGAGATTGCAGTGCTTCTTTGGGCGTGAGACGGTCCGACAAGAAATGGGCACCATGCTGATGATTAGAGTAGGTCGTCTAGGGCAGGTGCTCCCTGGCTTTGTGATGAGTAGTCTGATCAAAACAATGTGCAACGCGTGGTGCACCACGCGTAGGTACCACCATGGGCCCGACAGGTGCAAATTCGGTTGTTGCTCTGTTGGAGGAGATGACGTCCTCCACTATCTGGTTTGTCCTGTCTCCTCGCCTGTTGTTTCAGCTCTGCTCCCTCTTTTGCCTCATGATTACTCCGAATGGAGCAGTGAAAGGAAGCTGTGCCCTTTGTTTTTTTTCGATGGCTCCATTCATGCGCATGCGAGTTGTGTCATTGCCATTGATCTGCTCTTTCATGCTTACAACAAGGTAAGGAATTCAGGCCGGAGGCTGAAAGTGGCCAACCTCCTCAAGGCGCGGGCCAAGGTGCTGGCCCAGAGGCAGGCGGGGCTGCGGCGCCTGCTCAGGGGAGAACACGCGGGGTTGGGATGAGCGCACCTCCTCCTCCTCCTCCTCCCCTGTGCCGCCGACTGACCTCAGGAGGGAGAGGTCCCCACGCGCCGCCGCCCTTGCCTTTTGTTTTCGCCCTGTGGGCATCCCGTGGAGGCCCTCGTCGATGCCGCTGGATTCGCTTCGAAGTTCTGGTCAGGGCTCTCCCTAGGAGAGGTCCGTTGAGCAGCGGTATCGGTGCCTTCTGGCATCCCCATGGCTCGCCCAGGACCCGAGTCCCTAAGAAGCCCAAGCGAGGGATATCCCCACGCGGCCGTGGGAGGGCCCCACCTCTCCTCGCCCCCGTCTTCTCCTTCCTCTCCTTCCTGTGCTCCCCCTCTCCTGCTCATCCTCCTCTCAGCGTACCTTTACCTGCTTCTTCTTGCTCCCCCATGCTCCTCCCCCTGTTCGCCCTGGTCCCTCCTGTTACTCATTGTCCTCTTCCTCGTGCTCGTCGTCTTCGCCTTCCTTATCCCGCCGTCGTCCTCGCCGCCTCCCCCGCCGCCGCCGCCGACGCTTCCGCCGTCGTCATCGTCGTTGCCGTTGCCGTTGCCGTCGTCGTCGTCGTCGTCGTCGTCGTCGTCGTCGTCCTCGTCGTCCTCGTCGTCGTCTTCGTCGTCGTCGTCGTTCCAGCGCGTGCCCGACAGGTACGTCGTCGTGCTGATCCCGCGGAGAACCGAGCAAGTTGCCGAAGGGCTCCCTCAGGGGTGGGTGGCCGCGGCGGCGGCGGGCTTGTGCCACACTGGCGACGGGCATTTTTTTGAGCCCACTGACTTTCAAAGCCTCCGAAGATAGAGGATAAGAGTCTCGGCCTCCCACATGCGCTTGGGGCAGATGGGTCGGAGGATCGCGCCGCATCGCCGATCCATTGGCGATGCGGCTCGATGTCGAGCCCGATCTTCTCAACGCTGGCATCGCCGATGCATCGCCGACGTCGCCGACGCATCGCCGATACATCGGCGTTGCATTGGCGATGCGGCGCGATCCTTCGACCCCATCTACTCGGACCCCATCCGGGAGGCCTCTAATCGAGGGTAAAAGAGGTTTCTGCTTCTCACGTTCTGAGCCTTTTCGGGCCTTCTGGGGGCTCGCCACGGTTGGGGTCCCCTCGAGGTTCTGGCCAGAGAGCAACCACCCTGGAGATGTCCACGGGCCGATGTTCGCGGGAGGGGGACGCAGGCCTCCAACTGACCGAAGACACAAAGGTGGATGTGTCGGAGGTTGATCGACCTCTTACCCTGACACGTCGATTAGCATATTGGCTGTTTTCGGTTCGCTACAGGGCGTCGCGGCCGTCATTTTTGCGGGTCCAGGTCCGTTGGTTTCGGTCCTAGGCCGTTTTCACTAAAGGGTGGTTTTTTAAAGGGAGGTTTGTCCACCGCCGAAGGTGCTTCGCAATCTTCAGCTCCAGAGGCCACCTCTGGCCCCCGCGGCCGTCAGGAAACATCTCTGGCCTGGCCCCCGCGGCCGCTAGAAAACGACCCTGGGCGAGAAAACCAGCCCTGGGGAAGCGTGGATCGAGAGGGCTTGGAGGCCCACGAGTGGACACGGTCGATCCGCCAGAGGTCTTGGGCGATGTCTGTTCGTTCGTCCCGTCCAGAGCCCCAGCGCTTTCGCGCATCGACCCGCTTCGTGGAGTCCCCCGCCCCCCGCAGCAGCGGGGTCGGGAGCTCTGGTCGTGGCCTCGCCACGGCGCCGTTGCCTCCTCGCTGCCCCGGACGCCGGGGGCTCACGGGGCCTTTTTGTTCGGGGGAGCGAGGCTTCGTCGTCTCGGCGCCCGGCGGAGGCCTGCGGAAGCCGAGGAGAAGCCAGAGCAGCTCCCCGTCGGTCTGGGGACGAGGCAGCCGGTGCCGGGCGTCGGGGTCCGGAGGTGGCGGGGGCACGGGAGACGGCGCGGGCCTGGACGGGAGCTTCCTGCAGGCTCGTGGTATGAGCTCCCGGGGGTGCAGGTGCCCGGGAAGCCTCCGAGGCTGCTATCGGATCCCGGCGGCTCCCTGGCCCTTTGGCCCTCGGTTCCCGGGCGCCCAGGCGCGTCTTCCCAGGTTCTCGGGTTCCAGGGCCTCGGCTCTGGAGCCCAAGGGCGGTTTGCTGTGTGATGCCATGCTATGACATGCTATGCTACAACTGCACCTAGGGCATGCTACAACTTGTACCACCAACCGCTTATTGTGCTGCTATGCTGTGCACTGCATTGCCAGCTTATACACTGTAGTGTAATGCTTTGCTATGACGTGGAATGCAATGCTAGTCGGTGCAACGCCACGCATTGATAAGCCATGCTATGCTCTGCGCTACGTTACTTTTCATGTCATTGCATTGCTCCTTGTGGCGTCGTTGGCGCATACCGTTAGCAGAATCGCTACCCTCATTTTGGGACGCTCCGAGTTAATGTTTTTTTGTTTTGCGTGTTGAAGGGTTTTTGGTGGCGCATTGCAACCCGGCAAGGCCCAAGAATCTGTCAAGACAGTCCCCATGAGTTCTCCAAGGCGGGCCACGGGGTATCCGAGGCATCTGCGAGACGAACAATTATGGCCGTCCAATAGGATGTTGCATGCGCACCTTGTCGACTATGGTTCCATACGCGCTGTGCAGATATACCTGACTTGTGCAAGCTGCAAGTGTTGTAATTACACCATGACCTGCGTGTATGTTTGGGCTCATGTCCCGTTTTCTTCGTCTCTCCCCCTTACATCTTCGTTTCCCTTCGCGTGATCATATGATGAATCGCTTCGCTAATTCCGCCCGCCCATATTGCGCACCGCGGTCGAATGGCCGAGTGGTCGTCGTCAGTGCGCCTCTTGGGGGCTTCTTGAGGGCCTCGTGGGGTTCTCTTCGGGCCTCTCGGGGGCATCTTTTTGGGCCTCTTGGGGCCTCTCAGTGCCTCTTTGGGGCTTCGTGAGGGCTTCTTGGGTGCTTCCATGGGACCTTTGCGCGTAGAGCTCGAAATGTCCGTTCGGGTCCCCCGTCTGGGCCCGCTCCTGGAGCCGTCTTGGGAGCCTCTTCGGCCATCTTGGAGGCCTCTGGGGCTGTCTTGGGGTCCTCTGGGGCTGTTTTGGGTGCTCTTGGAGGTCTCTTGGGCTGTGCTGGGGCGATCCTGGAAGCCTCTTGGGCAGTCTTGGGGCGCTGGTGAACCCTCAAGGCGAGAATACCGAAAACCTTCAAACTCTGCAGCAAAATCACTACTTTCAGCCTTTGTGGGACCTCTTGGGAGGCCCCTTGGAGGCCTCTGGGGGCGTCTTGCAGGCGATTTGGGTTGTCTGGAGGCGCTTTTGAGCCGTCTCGGGCAATGTTGTGCTCTCTTGGAGGCCACCGGAAGCGCTCCTGGAGCACTCTTGGGAGCCTGCTGGGACTTGGCTGGGACCTGCCCAGGACCTTGCCGGGACCTTGCTGCCAGGACTTGATTGCCAGGACCTTGCCGGGACTTGCCGGGACCTTGCCAGGACCTTGCCGGGATTTGCCATTACTTTGCCAGGGTACTTTTCGTCCAGGGACCCCCAGGGGCGGCCCCGCGCGCGCGAACTAGGTTATTGTGAACCAGTCACCGGATCTTAGCACACCATTGGCCCGTTGGGCCGGCGAATCAGTGTTCCTGCGGCTTTTTCTCATGGATGATGCACTTGTGGGAAGGCAGGTGGATGCTTGCGTTCTCGCTCCCTCGCCTCCTCAAACTACATCCTGTGGACTAGGATGCTTCATATGCGCTTTGTCCTGGAACGGTTCCTGCGCTTCCCCACTGCTCCGTGCCTGCTCCTCGCTCCGCATGTGTCTATAGTGTGTGCGTCCCGTATGTCATGGGTTCCAGAGGCTCACGCCATTCCGCCGACCGCTTCCCCTCGTGTCGCGAGTAGATACTGGTTCGTCCTCTTTTTCCTCCGCGTCTGTAGCGGGCATTTTCTTTGGCCACTTGGAGGCCGTCGGGGCGGGCGGCCTCTTGGAAGCGCTGTAGGAGGCTCATGAGACCTTTTCGGGCCCCTCTGGGTGCGTCATGGGAGCCTCTTGGGCCGTCTGGCTTTCTGTGTACGTCCCGTATGTTATCTGACATACCGTTCCAGCAATGCATTTATGTAGGCCTCTCGGGCCGGCTCCAGCATTTGTGCATGTGCAGTTTGCCATGGCATAGAGCGGCCTTGGACCAATTGGTATGAGACTCGGCGGCGATGGCAGGGTTCTTGTAGTATCTGTGGATTGGTCTCGCCAGTGATCAATTCGTCCACAGACCTTGTGCTTTGCATTCCAAGGCTTTCCGTTGACTTGCCAAGTTTACGCGGGCGAATCCAAGGAGTCCTCTGAAGTGTTGGATTCGCCACAATTCTGTTAACCGCCTGCTGCGATGGTCTGCACAGTCCCGCGCCTCCTGAGGCTCGGCCGAGCCAACGTCCGTGCCAATGTTCGCATCGTGGAGTGCGCCCTGCACTACTTCCCCTTCGACAAGGACGTACTGTCAATGGAGGCCTCTCGCCGCGTTTCCCCTCCCACACTGCCAGGGGACGCATTTTTTTGCTTCATATGCACAGTCCAGTGTTTCGCGTGTTGGCTCGCCTGTTGCAGCCCTCGCGTGGCTCTGGGCTTGCCCGATTCGATGGAGCACACGTATCGTAGAAGCCGTCCTGATGAAGCCTACTCCGCTTAGCCCCGCTCACTTCGGGCTCCGTTTCGCGCAGCCCTGGGCTCTTACTTCTTCTGGCATATCAGCTTCGCTCACTTATTAATCGCTTCGCTCATTCCGCCGGCCCTGGAGCGCTATTTGGGGCCTCGTGGGGCCGTTTTGGGGGCTTCTTGGGGGCTTCTTGGGAGCGTCTTGGGGCTCCTTGGCGGCGTATTGGGCTCCCCTGGGGCCTCTTGGGGGGCTCTTGGGGGCCCCTTGGGGCGGGAGGGGGGGTAGTCGTTGGCAGCCCCCCCCTTGGAGGCCACGATCCTCGTGAGGGGTGGTGAAAAATAGCCTCCCCCCTGGGGATCGCCCAGGGGTCAGCCGGGGATCGGCCGGGGTACTTTTCGTCCAGGGCCCCCCAGGGGCCGCCCCGCGCGCGCGAACTAGAAGTATTGTTAAGTAGTTACCCGAGATCTCAGCACGCCTCTGGCCCGTTGGGCCGGCGAATTCTTGTTGCCCCTACTTTGAATCTATACAGCGAGGAACTCCCAGGAGTTGCACCCGAATCAATTGTGGTACAAATAAAGCCGAGAGCTGTGAGGGTAGTAGTTTTTTTGTTCGAGTGCCCGATTTTTCGCGGCACCAGGCCGTTCGTCAGGAGTTTGAGGAAGAAGGCTGTGGCCGCAGGATGCATCCTGCTACCTTGCATGCTGCTGCTGACGTGCCACACACACGCACACACTCAAAATCCCCATGCTAAGAAACCTGGCCCACCCCTCCCTGTCAACCTCCTTCAAGGCCTCCCCCCCTCCCCCCCCCCACCCCTCAGGCCTCGCGGGGTGGGGTCGCCGCGATGGCGGCCGCCTGTCGGCGCCACCCTCGCTCGGCCGCGGCGGCGGCGGCCGCGGCGCTGCCTCGGCGGCGCGCAGAGGGGGGCGACCGACGTCGACGACAAGGACGTCGTCCGTCGTCGACCCAGCTGAGGGGGGGCGACCCGTCATCGTCGTCGTCGTCGTCGTCGTCGTCGTCCTCGTCGTCGTCGTCGTCGCTGTCGTCCTCGTCGTTCCTCGCGCCACGAAACGATCGCAGTGGAAGGTTCCTGGCCACTGGCGGCCTCGGGGGGCCGCCGCTGGGCCTCGGGGCTGCCACGCAACGACCCAGGATGTGCAGAGTCCGCCTCGGGGAAGTGGTGGAGATTTTCGGGGGCCCATTCTGCCAGAGCATCGCGGCACGGCGTCGGGGGTCCGGGCAGGACGTTTCTGAGTTTCTGTTTTGCCATCGCAGCACTTCCTGCCTTCCAAAGAATCCTGTTAGGAGGTTTCCGATCCCTTCTAGGCTATCTCAGCCCTTTCGCGCTGCCCCCGAGCCAAATCCGCCCAAGCCCAGTCCAGGACCGCTCCTGGGGTTCTTTTTGGTCCGTTTTTCGAGTTGCGTCTAGCCGTGGTGTAAGGGTCCCCGCGGCAGACCCAGATTGGCACACAAAAACATCCCCCGACGTCTTCTTCCTCCACCTCGCCCTGCCCTTCGGCTGCAATTCCTGAGAGGGTGGGTGCAACGCCAGAGTTCAACCTCTCTGCCCTTTGGGTGCTTCCAGGTGTGCATCCACCCTTTTCCGGCCCATACACCCGCATTATTTTGGGGCCCGATGTGGCTTGACCAGCATGTCTTGAGGTCACGCCTGCGAAGACCTCCGAAGTGACCTGCCTTTCGCCTGGCGGGGCAAGGACCGGGATAAAAGCCGCTGCAGAGCTTTCCGGAGCGCTCTCAGAGCGTTCCAGAGCGCTCTGGAACTGCCCGCGGCGCCCTGTCCGATCTCGTCCCAGTCCTTGCCTGGCCTCGCCTCGTCGTTTGTACTCCGCAGCGTTGCCCCCCTCGGCGTGCCGCCAGCTGCTGGCGGCCCTCGCCCTCCTGGCGGCGGGCCCGCGCCCGCCCCCGCGGGCGCTCTCGCCCACGACCCCGGCGCCCGTGCAGCAGGCGCTCGCGGCGCTGGTGGCCGCGGTAGGCTCCGCCCCTGCGCCCGGCGGCGGCGGCGGCGGCGCGTACGCGGCCGGCGGCGGGGCGGCGCGGCGCACGGCCGTCGAGCGCGCCGCGGCTGCCCACAGGGGAGGAAGAGAGGCCCACATCTCCGAGGATTAGTTTTTGAGCCCAGCCGATCTTTGGCTTCTGGAGATTGCTATTGGGCCCAGGACCCTCGAAACGGGACCTGGGACGAACAGCCACTCTTGTGGAAACGGTCGGGACCTCTGGGGCCGCGCACCGAAAAAAGTCATATCGTCGCATTTCTGCGGACAGGGTGGGGTGGACGCCAGCGTTTTCGTTCCGGAGTTCTTCGGGCGTCTCTGGGGGTCCCCCCGGCAGAGGCTGAACGCAGCTCGAAGCACCGCCCAGGATGAGCCCTGGCGTCCTTCCTTGCCGTCGCTGCATGTGGCGGTCTCGTCCAGCGCGGGGGAGGAGGAGGAGGATTTTTTGCTCCAAACACCAGCACTCCTCGCGGCGATGCGTGGTGAATGTATCTTCTGGTGAGTTGTCGTCTTATCACAACGAGAGGTGCCGTGCCGATTTTGCGTGGAATATCTTGATGCTGGATGCAAGCTGTTAGCCAGGAGCCCGCGCACAATATTACATGTAACTTGAACTTGTAATCGATGTGTGAAGCTATTTAATTGTGCATCGATACTCGTCGACATTGGGACTGGTGTTGGATCTAGACTGGGGGCAGGAGGAAGAGGAAGATGATGATGAGGAGGAGGAGGAGGAGGAGGAGGAGGAGGAGAAGGAGGAGGGGGATGAGGAGGAGGAGGAGGAGGACAAGGAGGAGGAGGACGAGGAGGAGGACGAGGAGGAGGAGGAGGAGGAGGAGGAGGAGGAGGAGGAGGAGAGGCGGGGGAGGGGGAGGGGGAGGGCGCGGGGGAGGGGAGGGGGAGGGGGAGAGGGAAGGGCGAGGAGGAGGAGGCGGAGGAGGAGGAGGAGGAGGAGGAGGAGGCGGAGGAGGAGGAGGAGGAGGAGGCGGAGGAGGCGGAGGACGAGAGGAGGAGGAGGAGGAGGAGGAGGAGGAGGAGGAGGAGGAGGAGGAGAAGGAGGAGGAGGAGGAAGAGGAGGAGGAGGAGGAGGAGGAGGAGGAGGAGAGGAGGAGGAGGAGGAGGAGGAGGCGGAGGAGGAGGAGGAGGAGGAGGAGGAGGAGGAGGAGGAGGAGGAGGAGGAGGAGGAGGAGGAGGAGGAGGAGGAGGAGGAGGAGGAGGAGGAGGGGGGGGAGGGGGAGGGGAGGGGGAGGGGGAGGGGGAGGGGAGGAGGAGGAGGAGGAGGAGGAGGAGGAGGAGGAGGAGGAGGAGGAGGAGGAGGAGGAGGAGGAGGAGGAGGAGGAGGAGGAGGAGGAGGAGGAGGAGGAGAGGAGGAGGAGGAGGAGAGGAGGAGGAGGAGGAGGAGGAGGAGGAGGAGGAGGAGGAGGAGGAGAGGAGGCGGAGGAGGAGGAGGAGGAGGAGAGGAGGAGGAGGAGGGAGGCGGAGGAGGAGGAGGAGGAGGAGGAGAGGAGGAGGAGGAGGAGGAGGAGGAGGGGAGGGGAGGAGGAGGAGGAGGAGGAGGAGGAGGAGGAGAGGAGGAGGAGGGGAGGAGGAGGAGGAGGAGGAGGAGAGGAGGAGGAGGAGGAGGAGGAGGAGGAGGAGGAGGAGGAGGAGGAGGAGGAGGAGGAGGAGGAGGAGGAGGAGGAGGAGGAGGAGGAGGAGGAGGAGGAGGAGGATGAATAAGAAGATGAAGAAGAAGAAAAATAATAATAATAAGAAGAAGAAGAAGAGGACGAGGAAGAAGAATAATAATAATAAGAATAATACTAATAAGAATAATAATAAGAAGAAGAATAATAATACGAAGAATAAGAAGAATAATAATAATAAGAATAAGAATAATAAGAAGAATAATAAGAAGGATGAGAATAATAATAAGCAGAATAATACGAATAATAATAAGAGTAATAAGAAGAATAATACGAAGACGAAGACAAATAAGAAGAAGAATCATAATAATAAGAATAAGAAGAAGAATACTAAGAAGAAGACTAATAAGAAGAAGAAGTAGAATAATAAGAAGAAGAAGAAGACGAATAAGAAGAATAAGAATAATAATAAGACGTAGAAGAAGAAGAAGAAGAATAAGCAGAATAATAAGAATAAGACGAAGAATAAGAAGAATAATAATAATATTCAGAAGAATAATAATAATAAGAAGAAGAAGAAGCAGAAGAAGAAGAAGAATAATAAGAAGAATAATAAGAAGACGAATACGAAGAATAAGAAGACGAATAAGAAGAAGAATAAGAATAATAATACGAAGAAGAAGAAGAATAATAAGAATAATAAGAATAATAATAATAATAAGAAGAATAAGAAGAAGCAGAAAAAGAAGAAGAAGAAGAATAATAATAAGAAGAATAATAGGAAGACGACGACGACGAAGAAGAAGAAGAAGAAGAAGAAGACGAAGAAGAATAAGAAGAAGAAGAAGAAGAAGGAGAAGAAGAATACGAATAAGAGAAGACGAAGAAGAAGAATAATAATAAGAATAATAAGAAGAATAATAATAATAATATGAAGAATAAGAAGACGAATAAGAAGAAGAATAAGCAGAATAAGAAGAAGAATAAGAAGCATAAGAAAACGAAGAAGAAGAATAATAAGAAGAATAAGAAGAATAATAATAAGAATAAGACGAAGAAGAATAATAATAAGAAGATGAATAAGAATAATAAGAAGAATAATAAGAATAATAAGCATAATAAAAAAAATAATAATAAGAAGAATAATAATAATAAGAAGAAGAATAATAATAACAAGAAGAAGAAGCAGAAGAATAATAATTTGAATAATAAGAATAATAATAAGAATAAGAAGAATAAGAATAATAATAATAATAAGAAGAAGAATAAGAAGATTACGAAGAAGAATAAGGAATAAGAAGAATAATAAGAAGAAGAGGAATAATAATAAGAATACGAAGAAGAATAAGAATAAGAATAATAATAAGAAGAAGAATAATAATAAGAATAATAATAAGAAGAAGAAGAAGAAGAATAAGAAGAAGAAGAATAATAATAAGAAGAAAAAGAAGAGGAGGAGGAGGAGGAGGAGGAGGAGGGGAGGACCAGATCGTCACCCGGATCGAGAGGGGCGCATGTTCACTTGGGGTCGCGAAGCGGCGCCAGCGGGGCATTCGGCTTGGGAGGCGTCTGCGATCTGCGGACAGACTGTGGGGGGGTGGTCCCCAGGCCAGGCGGTTCCGAGGGTTCCCGCCGTTTTCGGCGTCTGGGCCCACCCCCGAACCCTGGGCCCGTCTGGGGGAGAGCCTCCCGGCCAGGGTGTTCTCTCGGGTGCTGCTAGAAGTGCCCCTGGGTCGAGGTGTCCCCAGGATATCCAAGGAGGCCCCCACGGCCTACGGAGCACCCCTCGCGAGTCACAGAGGCCCCAAGGGCTCCCGGATTGAACGCAAAAGCTGGGGGCACCTTGTGCCAGGGGCACCTTTAGCAACCCCCGACCTATATATCCTCAGGACTCCTTTCGGCGACTACAGTGGGTGTGGTTACGCCGGGATGTGATTGGCGATCGGCGCCGTCGGGGCTCATACGGGGGTGTTGATGAGCCCCCTCGGGGTGCGGCGGAGATCTCGGTCGAGGGCTTCGCCCGCCCCACCGCGGGCGCGGGTTGCAGACCACGCCCTGTGCGGACCACGCCCCCCGGAGTCGTCGACCCCCTCCCTCGTGCCAGAGAAGGCTGCGCTGGAGAACGCCCTGCCGCGGCCCGTGTCCTGGAAGCGCGGGGACCTGGCCCTGCTCGATCGGGAGGCCCTCGGCCACGCCCCAGACCCCCGGTGGGCGGCGCGAAGGGAAGGTCGCGGCGGCGGCTCCTCGGTCTTGGCCTCTTCCACGGACTCGTCTCGGGCCCCGCGGGGCCATCAGATAGCGACCCGCGATGGGGTGAGGGGGGGAAACACGAAAGAGGAGGAGGAGGAGGAGGAGGAGGAGGAGGAGGAGGAGGAGGAGGAGGAGGAGGAGGAGGAGGAGCCGGTATTCTTTAGAAGCTTCTCTGCGCTGTCGAAGCAAATACGCCAAACAATCGAAGCAAACATGTCAAACAATTATCATTATAATATCACCATCATCATTATCATTAGCTTTGTCATTGTCGTTATCATCAACATTATCATTATCATTTTCAGATACATGCGATCTTATAATTAGTGATTTCAAAACTCATACCATTATTGTTGTTATTAATATCATTAATATCACATCGAATATGTATAATATTGTTATGATTGTCGTTCATATGATTAGCATCATTATTGCTGTTATCGCTAATTGTGATATATTGTATCATAACGTTCCCTATTTCCAGAGTTGTGACTCCAGTACCCCAGGCTGTAGGCCCACAGCCCCGGGCCGTGCAAACCGCGAAGCTGTCGAACCGCGGCCCCGGGCGGTGGACCCGCGCTCCAGGCGGTCCGTACCTCGCTCTGTTCTTCCTTCCTTCCTCCTCCTCCTCCCCCTTGTCATCCTCATCATCACCATAGTCTTCACCATCCTCCCTTCATCGTGTTCCATATCCTCCTTCCTCCTCGTCCTCCTCTTCTCCCGCCCCCTCCTGCACCTCCTTTTTCCCCTCCTCCTCCTCCTCCTCCTCTTCTTTTTCCTCCTCCTCCTCCTCCTCCTCCTTATCCCCCATCCCCCCGGGAGGGGTGGATGGAAGCGAACGCCGCCTCTTGCGGGGGAGGAGGAGGATGAGGAGGAAAAGGAGGAGGAGGAGGAACCGCAGCAGCTCGATAGCTGTTTGGGCTCATGGATCCTCAGGAGCTGCTGGCCATCGCCGAGCGGGCCCTCGGCGAGCGCCCCGTTGGGGGCCCCGCTCCCCCTGCCGCCTTGCACTGGGCCCGGAAATGGGCGGGTTCCAGGCGGCGCCGCCAACCTGGCGGGGTGGGATGAAAGCAGAGAGCGCACTACGAGAAGGAGGAGGAGGAGGAGGAGGAGGAGGAGGAGGAGGAGGAGGAGGAGGAGGAGGAGGAGGAGGAGGAGGATTTGATGACTTTTTGCTTCCATTAAATAAATATTGACGCCGCGGCAACACTTCGCCGACCCCGGGTTTAAGGTTACAGCTCTGATTATCAGGACCAGCGTTTTCCACGCCAGGGGCAGGGATTTCTCCGGGTTGCCTGCCACAGAGGCGCGTCGGAATCCCAAACAATGATTCTCAAGGCAACGCTGTTCCCAAATGCGACGTCCGAAGGGGCCAATTGGCGCGTGCGCCGGCCACCTGCGAAGACAAGTCTTGGCCTTGAGAACGGGTTTTTGTTTTTCCTGGGCCTGCGCTTGGAAAGCCCGATTTGGGCAGATTGGACGGCGGTTCGCTAGGGCAGCGCTAGAGGTTTTTCGCACGACGGTCCACGTGCACCAGCCGCCATAGAAACGCATCGGATTCGCAAGAACCAGTTCTCAAGGCCAGCTTTTTTTGCTTCACTAAACCGACGTCGACGTCGTCGTCGTCGTCGTCGTCGTCGTCGACGTCGTCGTCGTCGTCGTCGTCGCGGTCGACGTCGTCGTCGTCGTCGTCGTCGTCGTCGTCGTCGTCGTCGACGTCGACGTCGTCGTCGTCGTCGTCGTCGTCGACGTCGACGTCGTCGACGTCGACGTCGTCGTCGTCGTCGTCGTCGTCGTCGTCGTCGCGGTCGTCGTCGTCGTCGTCGTCGACGTCGACGTCGACGTCGTCGTCGTCGTCGACGTCGCCGTCGTCGTCGTCGACGTCGTCGTCGTCGTCGTCGTCGTCGACGTCGACGTCGTGGTGGTCGTCGTCGTCGTCGTCGTCGTCGACGTCGTCGTCGTCGACGTTGACGTGGACGTCGACGTCGACGTCGCCGTCGTCGTCGTCGTCGACGTCGACGCCCAGGGCCGCGGTTCGACTGCTTCGCGGGCTCCGCGGCTTGGAACTGCAGTTCCACAGCCCTGGGCTGTGGAACCACAGCCCGCGAAGCTGTCGAACCTCCGCCCTGGGCGGTGGATCGTCTGCCCGGGGACATGGAAAAGCAGCCCCAGTAGCATCGAGGTCGTGCAGGGGGGGGCGGTTTGCCTGACCCGTTGCCTGCGCCGCCCGGGGAGGTCAGAGGCTGCGCGACAAGGCTCGGGAGGCCCAGATGGCGGAGCTCGATAGGCGGGCAAGCCGCCTCGACGACTGCTTTGGGGTGGACGGGCGTGGGCCGCCCAAACAGAAGGCCAGGGGCCCGCAAACGCGCGAGCGCAGCCGCTCGAAACCGGACTCCCTGCAGCGAGGGGTCGGGCATCGAGCGGGGGCGGCCTCGTCGCGGCAGCGTTCCCGCGTTTGTGGGCGCCTTTTCAAGGGGAGTGGCAGTTGGAAGCACATGTCCTCGAGGGAATGCTTGAGGGTCGCGTTCTCGCATCCTTGCGAGACCTTCCGTAGCATCGCAACCAGGGTCGAGAGGAGTGTCAGCTACATAGCAAATATAGTTTACGCGTGCTCTCACATCTTGCGCGGGAAACAGGCAGAGGCTATTGCGAATGCTGTTGGGTCATCTCAGTTCATGATCTTCCAGTTGCAATGGGACGAGTCGAAGTATCGTTTGATCCCGACTGGTGAGAAATCGGGCAGGGGAACTGACGTGTGCTGTATGGCTTCGCATGGATGGTTGACCTTCTACGAACCAGGCAGCCTTGTTCACGAGCAGGTTGTGCTGCCGCCTGCGATTCTGGACGCCGTGAGCGCTGGGTGCATGTTTGCTGCCCTGAAGCGCGTGCTGCCTGCGTCTTTGCACCAATTCCTTTTCTCAACAGACGGTGGCCAGCTTCCACCCCGTGTGAAGATGGCGTGCATCAACTTCGGCAGCGACCACCACTCGGCCAATATGAAACTCATTGCTTTCTTCACCAGCCAATTCGGCGGTAAGATTGCAGCTTTAACTGGGTTCTGCAAGCACCATGCCAGTGCTTTGTGTCTCTCTCCCATAGTCAAGACTATGAATCTGGTGTGTCCTGCGTATTGCTTGTCGAAGCTGTGCCGGAGCGACGCCTTCTTCAAGGGCCTGAGGGAAGGGATTCGGGTTTCGCTCTCGACCCGTCTCGAGTGGAAGCGGATGGACGTGGAGCCAGGCTGGAGGCCTCGCCCGCAGGAGGGGTTGGGCGGGCTCTATGGTGAACGATTGCTAAGAGTCGCATGGCGCGCGTCAGGTAGCATGTGTTGTTGTCCGCTGGCAGTGGCAGCCCCCTGGGGCCTTCCGTGCCCATGGCGTGCGGAGGAGCAAAAGGATAATGGGGGGGAGGAGGATGGAGAGGAGGAGGAAGAGAGGGCGGATGATGATGAGGAGGAGGACGAGAAATGCGACGGCGAGGAAGGATAATGTGGAGGAGGAGGCGGAGGAGGGGGAGGAGGAGGAGGAGGAGGAAGAGGAGGAGAGTCAGGAGGAGGATGAGTAGGATGAGGAAGAGGAGGAACAGGAGGAGGCGGAGGAGGAGCGGAGGAGGAGGAGGAAGAAAAAAGGAGGAGGAGGGGGAGGAGGTACAGGGAGGATGAGGCGGAGGAGAAACAGGAGGAGGAGGAGGAGGGACTAGGGGGTCCGCGCCCATTGGGAGGACGTGGCGCACGCCGAGAACGCCCTGGAGATGGCGTACTACCGGAGGGACATGCGGACGGCCAGGGATCAGGCTGACGCGGAGGCCCAGTAGTTGCGCGGCGCTCCTCTCCCTCGCATGTCGTAGTGCGTGAGAAATTGACAGGATTGTTCTTCGTCGTGGTTGTCGTCGTCCTCCTCCTGATCTTCTTCCTCCTCCTCCATCTATTTCCCCCCGTTGGCTTTCCATTGGCGACTGCCTCCCCCGCGGCCCGTTGCGGCCAGCAATCGACGCGTTCAGAGACCTAGTCCCCCTCTGCGAAACCTGCTCTCCAGGAGGCGGGTGGGCACAGACTCATCCGAGGGGGGCGTGCCCCCCTTGCTCCTCTCGGGGCGGGGGTGCGCGAGAGGCGCACCAACGAAACCTCGGGCGCGCCTCGAGGGGAGGAGGAGAGGAGAGGATAGGAGAGGCGAGGGGAGGAGAGGAGAAGAGAGGGGAGGGGAGGAGGGGAAGAGAGAGAGAGAGAGAGAGAGAGAGAGAGAGAGAGAGAGAGAGAGAGAGAGAGAGAGAGAGAGAGAGAGAGAGAGAGAGAGAGAGAGAGAGAGAGAGAGAGAGAGAGAGGGAGAGAGAGAGAGAGAGAGAGAGAGAGGAGAGAGAGAGAGAGAGAGAGAGAGAGAGAGAGAGAGAGAGAGACAGACAGACAGACAGACAGACAGAAGACAGACAGACAGAGACAGAGAGACAGAGAGACAGAGAGACAGAGAGACAGAGAGACAGAGAGACAGACAGAGACAGAGAGGGAGGCACTCTAGGAGGAAGGGGAAAAGCGGAGAGAGAGAAGAGAGAGAGAGAGAGAGAGAGAGAGAGAGAGAGAGAGAGAGAGAGAGAGAGAGAGAGAGAGAGAGAGAGAGAGAGAGGATGGCGGGTGGCAGCAGCAGCGGCCGCTCAAGGGCTGCGAGCGAGTGGAAAGAGGCGGATGGCGAAGATGAGGAGGAGGAGAAGGGCGAGAAGCGGCAGTGGCAGCGATCGCCCGCGGCCCACGTCGCCCTCCCCCCCCCGCCCTGGCGCCCGCAGGCCGTTGCGGAGAAGGACAAGTTGCATCGACAGCGGGGGCGCGAGCTTCTGGAGAATTGCCCTGGGGATTGGAGGGGGGAGAAGGTCATTCATTGGTGTAAGGGGTGCTGTAGTACGCGAGAGGAGGCCATCGAGCGAGTGGCTACTCTTGTGGAAGC